TCACGGCGCTTCGCGCTTGGTGATGTGAGAGCCTGGTCCGGTGAGAACCCGGCGTGCTCCGTCCCGGCTTTGTAGGGATGCGAGGTCAATGGTCTAACGACTACGGCATGCACGACTATGAGTACACCCCCCCTCTCATCACCTTAGCGTGGATACGCAGAGATGTTAAAGAGGCGGAAGTCACGGCTCCAGTACGCGGGTCTTGATTCCTCGCTCCCAAGGTTAGACCGCGGAGGGATGTGACCCGAGCAGAAGGAGGATGCCGTTCTTGGAGTCGACGTCGATCTTGAACCTTGTGATCTCTCCCGTTGCCTTGAGTCTCGCCGTCCTGGTTGGACCACGGAGAGAACTAAACTATGTAGTGAAAGAGGAAGCCGGGGAAGAGTCGTCGGCGTTGATCGGTGGACAATCCTTGGTTCTTCCTTGGGATCGGTCCTCAGCTGCTCGGAATCGAAGGGTCTTGAGCGGTTGGAGAAAGAAGAATCCCCCGACACTACCGGCACCTGGCAGGGCATGCAAAAAGCATCTAGCAGTGTTCGGACGATGGGCCAGATAACAAGTGGATGGGAGGACGTTCCGTAAATCGGTGACGTTCCTAGGGATAGTCAGTTCCTTCCAATCTCCATTCAGATGCTCAACTCTCCAGTAGGGGTCACCGAAGTCCTACAACATGCCTCGGAACGTTTTGGTGTTGCCCTTCAGGGAAGTGGATTCTAGACCCTGTGCCCCAACAAGAAACTCCAAAAGGCCTGCTCCCCCGGACTCCCTTTTCGGTGTCCGCGGGAAGGTCATCCAGCGAATCGTGCGGCGCGAGTGAGTCTGTGGTAGTCTTGCAAAGGGTGTGGAACATGGAAGACACCGACGTGGAGAGGTGGAAAGCTGTTCTCGGACCTCGTCGTCGGTGAGACAACGGTCCATCTTGGTACTGCCCTGATATTCCCACCTCCACGTAGATGGTGTTCCACCAGCACCCTGTACGACTGGCCGTGAGGTCAGGGTGTAGAGGTGGACGGCGGCGACCGAGGCATCGGTGCGTCCTAGGTCGGCAGACCACACGTAGTGCGCGTACTCACCTTCAAAGGCGTGTCTCAAAGTGAGTTGGTCGGGAGTGGAAGGGCTTGATGTCAGCGGCTGACAGCGTCCGCAGTCGAACTATGTTCCGTGGCCGTTGAGCGTGACGGTGCGGCTCGAGCCTCGGAAGACGTTGACCACATGCCAAGGGCCGGTGGGCTGACTTGGGGTGGACTCCATCACGGCAAAGTGTGCTGGCGCTCTCCTTCACCAAGACTTGGTCACTGAAGTCGGTATTTGTCCCTGGGGATGCGCGCATGATTCCTGCATTGTGGCGCTCGGGCTTACGATTCTTGTCTGCTTGCCGTTTGTCGGGGATGGTGCGAATGTCGTAGGCCGTCTATCGTCTTTCCTTCACCGTTGTCTCTAGATCTTGGCCAGGCGTGCGGTCGTCCAAAGAAGGCGCTAACTCGTCCAGCGGTGTCCATCTCCTACAAGGATACCTTGTTCGGAAGGCTGGCGCCGGGCTCCATGAGGTGATTCTACGTTCCAACTGGTACGAATGCGCCCCATCGGAACGGCCATGTCTCGCACAACTCGGCCACTACTTTGTGTCCCCATTGAGAACATAGCTCTAGACAAAAATCACGGGCCGCAAGCCATTGGAGGGGGAGAAAAAAACACGCCCGAGCGACGTAGGACTGATTGCAGACTTACAGTAACTCTCTCTAGACGACTACGAGAACTTGGCTACGACTCTGGACACATTTCCGGTGCCCCGTGCCCTCAGGAGGAGTGACGCTGCCAGGGTACTGGAGGAGGCCATCCTTCCCCCTATGGTGAGACAGGTGCTGAACCTGGTGGGTCTTCAGAGAATGATATGG